TATATATATATATATATATATATATATATATATACACATACAAACATTATCACCCATTTTTCTCCTTTCTGCAGTGGGCAATTAATAAATACATTTAGGCCTTGGTTGAAACGTTAGAGTTGCTCTTCCTCAATCTGAAAGTTGGTGGTTCGATTCCCAGGCCTTCTGATGGGTTTGAATCTACTTAAACTAAATCACAACTCATCATGCCCCATGTGAGTAAAATCTGCAAGGTTAAGCAGTTTTGTTGTCCAGTGCTAGGTGCTCCAACAAATAAGAGCTCATCGTCCAGGTCAAATGGTTGTTTTTAGACATTTTTCATATTTAGCCTCTTCTGCCTCATGACAAAAGTTTTAAAATCATCATATAAGTCCAAGGTCATCACTGATTGTTCCCTCCACAAAAAACAGCTACCACAAGAAGCTAAAAAATATTTGTCAGGCATGCAGCTCACCTTTAGTTGCTAAGACCCGACAGTAAACAGGTTAATTATTAGACAAATGTTATGCCTCGTGAAAAATAAATCACTGCTTACATAACATTGTCAATAAAAAAAAAAAACACTACTTTTAAATAAAACCATCTCAACACAAACTTCTAAATATTACTATTACTGAAACGTTAAAATTAGTCAGGCAGCAGTAAACTGTACTGTATTGATAAATGAGCCACAGTGAACTGCAGTGAACCTGTAATGGTAACGTTTCAGAATATTTCAAATGTATTTAACAATTTCTAACATCTTAATCACTGAAATGTGCCAAATTGTATTAACCAGAAAATAAAGTATATCTTTTATTTTCCATAATACTGGTAAAACTGAACTCGTGTATGGTTTAGAATATGTTGCATGTATATATAGTAATCCTATACAACAGTTGTTGAGGTCGTCTTGGTTTCTGGCGACCTTACCTTGACATAGAGGGAGACCGTAGGCTGGTTGGGGTCAGCTGGTGCCTTGCTGCTCTCATCCAGAGTGACATTCTCCAGGGTTTTGAGGCTGTAGTCCATGGCGTCCATCGGCTTCGTGTTGGGATGGGTGTACGACATTAGAATCCCGTCCTCGGCATTATCCTCATCGTGGATCTTGGGAGGGATGGGTAGGTTGTCGCAGGGGTCTTCGTGGGAGGAAGAGGAACTTGAGGAGGAGGATGAGCGCCTGGATCTGTCGTGCCCCTTGCCGTTAACCTCTTCCTTCAACACCTTCGGTTCAGGCGGCAGCTCCATTGTCACCACTAGGTTCTCCTCCTTGGTTTCCTCATCATCACTGGAAGAAGAGGAGGAAGACGATGATGAGGAGCTGCTTTTGTTCTCTTCCTTGATTTCCATGTACTCCGGAGAGTTGCAGTCCCGCTCGGCAGAGGCATGAATCTGCACCTCACTGTACACTGGCTCCCTAGCCTCACCCGAGTTCACATACGTGCGCTGTTGATCCCTGGCCTGGTCAGAGTTCCCGTACTGGGGCTCTCGGTTGGGGCCGTCAGCTCCAACGCAGTGCTCGTTGTGCCCATTCTCCGGCTCGATAATCTCGTAGACGTTTTCCATGTTTGCTGGCTTTGTTTGCGGAGGCAGACCTTGGTGCTTGAATGTGGAGGAACAGCTCTGGAGTGGTTGCACAGTCCGCCTGCCTTTGGCTGACTGAACGCCTGGGCAAACTCCAACAATCATAAAAGACCTTTGATCCTGCAAGTTAACAAGTGAACAATCTCTGACATTTAGGCAGGTAGTTTTGTATTAAAGAGATATAGTTATAGTTGGGTGGTGAATAAAAACATGACATGGTTCTTTATCAGCTGTTCACTGCCACACAAGTAATGAACAAGCATTTTTGATAGCTGTCAATTTGGGTTTATCTAATCTTTTGTAATGCTTTTTATTGAGCAGTTGGAGTAACCATTAAAGTCTCGCTTATTTTAAAACTAAAAGAGAAGCTAGAAATGACTGACATATACATACAGGCACCGGTCTCAACAAAATTTTAAAAAGCAACAGTTTGTCAGCCGTTAACCGTGATCAACTGGTTTTCAGCTCGACTGACATGACCAGTGGCAGGCTGACTCAGAACTTGATTACTTTTAACCCATGACTGCACCAAGTTTTCCACTGGATAGTATGTGTGAGGTGTTTAAAGTCACGTCAGAGGGAGAACAAAGGGTGTGCGAAGGTACTAAAAGGACAATGGATTGTCATCAGAGATGTGTTTCTTGCTCACTTTTCTGTTCAGACTATGTTCTTGTATAGCAGCCACCTAAACTGGAGATATATTTATCAGAGTGCTGTTTTTTGAGTTTCCACTCTCGTTTTCACTTTCAGGATGAGTGTCAGACGGTGTTTGTTTCAGCTGGGCAGGGCTGATATTCCTGGCAGCACCTGACCAGCTGTTCCCAGACAGACGTATTTACGACTGAGCTTGTAAATTTTAAGCAGATTCTAAAATCTAATCCTCGTTACTCAACTTGAACCATCCTCTGCTGGTGAGCATTCTCCAGTCACCAGCCTTCCCATTGTCAAACTTTAGTCTGGAACCCTCCGATGAGATCTCCTCCAGAGTCAGACCTCTGAGACAACCAGGGAAAACAGCTGTTCTCTCCCTCTGTCAACACATCTTCCGCTCAACCCTTACTTTCCTGGATTCCTGAAACACACAGGCTTCCTGCTGGAAACGTGCAAAGACAAACAGTAGGACCTGACCTCAAACCTTCACTAATTACATTCTGGAAAAATACTCACCTGTGGAACCACCAAGTCTGTACATTTACCTTCTGCAGACAAACTTGGTTCCAACTTCCTGTGCTTTTCAAAATAAATTATTTCAGGGCTGTCAAACTCAGGTACAGAAGAGGGCCAAAAATAAAAACTTGGTCCAAGCCACGGTCCAGTTTCAGTCAATATTAACTCATGTCAGATACGGGACATCTTTTCTTGGTTGCAGATTCATTAGCAAGAGCTTGATCGGCATCATTTGATGTTATCTGTTGCTTTTTCCACATCAAAATCAAAGATTACTGAAAAATTCACCCTTCTTTCTGGCTACAAAGTTAGCCAACTGTCACGAGAAGTCTGCACTAAACTAAAGCCCTATTCGCATGCCATTAGTTTGACCTCGGGACCACATGCAATAAATAAATTACTCCCAACGTCTGCTTTTTATGTGGCGCATTCGCACAGGATTACCAAAGACTGAGATTTAGCTGAAATTTACAGACATCTTCCGGATATTATGTTAACGCACTGCGTTGTCACGACCGGGCCGGTCCATAATAATGTGATTAATGGGCGGGCCGGGCCAGTCTGAGGCTTTGATGTGGTTTTACAAATCAGCACTAAAGATAACTAAAGAAGCACAATATACTGTAAAATTGTGTTAATCTACTTGTTGAGGAGGAGGCAGGTCCAACCGGTCGGTTTAAGAGGTTAAAAAAAAGCAACCTTAAGCTCAGATGGACAGCTGTCACCGGCCGTGCACGTGAGCGGCCACACATCCACTGACCCACCGGTTGAAATGGACTTGTGACCTGTCCAGGGTCCCCCGCCTCTCACAGAGTGATGGCTGGATATGGGCACCAGCGACTCCCGCTACCCTAAAAGGAAGAAGTGGGTAAATATGATGGATGGATGGATGGATGGATGGATGGATGGATGGATGGATGGATGGATGGGTCAGATGATCACGCACGTATCTCCACACCTGATCTGTGGTGAAGGAAGTAGCAGCATGAAAACCGAAGCATAAAAAAAGGCAGAAGCGAGCAGCTCATTCATTTAAAATAGCTTGTTCTATATTTTTCCAAATAATTTTGCTTAAACAAAAACAAAAAACGCCTCATTACATATCAGATCTGGCCCGTTTCTGTCCAAATCACAGAGATGCCTATTTGCATTGGATTAGTATTATCACAAGACCTCAGAATTCAGCAAAATATAGTAGGTAATTTGCACAGGAATTTTCACTTTACAAATTACTGACATGGCTCATTCGCACGGGATTAACAACACAGGCAATCTTCGTAATTATTACAAATAGCATGTGGTCCCTAGGTAAAACTAATCCCGTGCGAATAGGGTTTTAAGTATACGGTCAAAAAAAAAAAAAAAACATCCAGATGACCTGACTGAAAATTGTTGGATTTTATACCTGGATTATTGAGCATGGACCTTGATATACTGTACAGAGTTTTTTTTTAGGCAAAATGACATGTTATTAAAAACAAGTTACATTTAAAATATAATCTCAGGGGCCAAATAAGATGTTAACGAGGGCCAGATTTGGCCCGCAGGCCTAGAGTTTGACACGTGGTGTTCTTCAGCTCAGTTATCTGAATGACAATGTTCAGGTCCAGATTACTTTGTGAGAACTAGAATTTGCAACCAAAAGATAAAAGCATGTGCAGCTTACATCACAGAATCATGTAATGCATGTCTCATGCAGAAAATTGAGCAGAGTGAATCTGAGTGAGTATTCACAATACAGTACTCTGCTCATTTTTCATATTAATTTTACTTAGTGTACTCATCTATCAAACCACTCAGGTTATTCCCCAGTTGTGAGTGAGTGTGAATAGTTGTGTCTCATTGGTTTCTATGTGTCACTGTGATGGATTGGAGACTTGTCCAGGGTGTCCCCCACCTCTTCACAGTGACTGCTGGATATGGGCACCGGTGACCCGGAAAGTAAGTAGTGGGTAAAGATGATGGATTTTTCCAAAGTATTCCATAAATCTCAATTCCTTCAGAAACTTTTTTCAGCATTCTTGCTGTAATTTTGCTTCTTAAATGATTTTATTTAAATTCATATAGTTTCTAAAAGGGGGGGAGAGTGGTGGTGCAGAGGTTAGAGAAGGTAATCCTGTGATCGAATGGTCGCTGGTTTGACCCCCCGCATCAACCACATCAAAATGTGGGTGGGAAATATGAAGCACCCACACCTGCCTCCACCCTCATTTGCCCCACTCTGAGCCCTTAACCCACCATCTCTTCCCCTGGACACCCTAGATAGCAGCTCTCTGCTCCACACAGAGCGCTGTGGTAACTCAATGGTCTGTGGTTGCATCAGGAAGGACATCCGGCATAAAAACAACTGCCAAGTCTTTGTGCAAGTTAGTTTGCTGTGGTGACCCCTGAAGAAGGGAGCAGCCGAATGAAGGAAAATATGTAATCTCTAAAAAGAAATTAGTAATAGCCGAAATCTAAATCATCAAGTCAGAGCTTCTCAAAAATCAAAGAACCAGCAAAGAAAACAGTGGTTGGTGCCTCTGTAAAATAAAAAAAATCAAGTTTTTGTTTTTATAAATGTCTTTATTTTCAGAAGACTCTTTAACTGCATGAACATGGCAAAGATAATTTGTCATATTAAATATCCACATTTCAAATCTATAATCTTATTGTCTAATAACTACAAATGAATAATTTTGAAATGCATCCTGAATATATTTCAGTTTTATGTCAACAAGTCGGGAAAAATCCTCAGACGTCTCAGTGTTTTTACTACAACATTAAAAATAACCAGAAAGTTTTTAATTCATACAAAGGCTTTTTAATTTATGAATTTCAATTTAGTAAAAAGAATATATAAATAGATCTATATCACAGTGATGTCTGCTGTTTTGGGGGTTACAGGTTTCAGTCAAAGCTTTCAAAACGATCAGATTATATTTTTTATTTTTTTACGGTACTGCAAAAATATAAGCATAATGGTTTTGGATTCAGCGTCTTCTACATTTTTTTATGTTTTAAGTTGATAAGAAACCTTTAAACAAAAGACATATATCTTTTTATTATTATTATTTTCAAATAGCAACTATAAATTAGAAGTGCAAATCAAAAGCTACATGTCCTAAAACGCATCATCAGCTTCCTTTGTTTCAATTCTTTAGTGCAAATTACAGGACGGGTTCCTGCAAGTCATGCTGAAAATAATCTTCCCAACCAAATGACAAAAAAAATTCTAAAATCCCTAAGACAGTAATACTCACAAATAGCAATTGCACTTCACATTTTACCAATATGGCAACGGTCATGATAATCAAAATACGACCTACGAAACAAAAACCCTCTCCGGAGACAGACTGGACGAACACACGGTGAAACTATAACACACTTTAAGACGTGTTCTCATAACTTTAAAGGCAAATGATCGTGATTAGCTCATGAAAGGAACAACATAAGCAGCTTGACACAGTGTTAGCCTTAAATGTAACATTCAAACAGAACCCAGGACCCCGAAACACTTGATACTTTTGAGTATTTTAGCTTATTCACAGCGGTGGGGTTATTTCTCGTATAAAGGAACATCTTATTTCAATGGTCAGGCCACAGGCAGAACAAGTGGTGGAACGATTCTAACTAGGCTTTGGTCTTTTAATTTATGACATACAAATCTGCTTTGCATAGATTTGAAAATGTCAAATAAATCAAACCTGCTGTCGAGGAACACAGCCAGCGTGGAGGTGCAAAGGTGTCAGTATGTCTCAAATTAATGTGCTTGCCAATTATTCATGAAATATTAAGTTTTCAATCGCACCTGTAAAGCTAGAGTCAGTTTTTTTTTTTTTTTTGTCTAAAAAGTGCAAATCTATAAATACCACAAAGGTAAGATTGTCTGAAAGTGTACGCAGTTATTGGCATTTAAATATGTATGATTTCTAGTAGGGATGCACAATATTATCTGCATGGTATTGTATCGGCCGATATTAGCGGTAAAGTTAAATATTGGACATCGGTCAAAATAACTCACTGATATAAAAGGCGCTGTTGGTTTTTTAAATATATTATATATTTATATAGTGTTACATCATTTTCAGCGCCCTTTTTGGCATCTGCATTTGGTAACAGGCCAAATTCACAAAGACCATGCAGAATAATGTAGGATTTTAATTCCACAGCAGAGAAAGCTGTGTAGTCTCTGTAAGAAGGTCTAGGGGAAAAGAATCTGTATTGGTATCGATTATCGGCCAAGTAAGTTTTAACATATCGTCGCATCAGATATCAGCCAAAAATCCAATATTGTGCATCCCTAATTTCTAATATCTCACTCTGAGCTGTAAAGGCTAACTCATGTTTTGAGTGGAAAAATGTCAAGATCAAAAAAAACGAATTGCTCGATTGTTTCTAGCAGAAGAGCAGGAAACAAGTTTAGTATACGGTATATAGTAAAGTATTTTAGTCTGCATGTTTCTCCAAACTGAGCAGTTAGCTGTGTGTGCATCTCTGCAGCTGACTAGAACGACCAAACTCATAAAGAAAAATATGAATAAAATTAATTTATTCGTACAACCTCTTTTTAAATCCCAAGTTCTGCATGGTGTGTGCAAATATTTGTATCACAGTATTGTGTCAGTGTTTCAGGGGATCACAGTGTTAAATTAGCTTTGTTAAATCCTGAACCAAGCTCTGACTTTGTCCCATAATCTAGATTACATTTTTAAATCAAATGCATTTCAAACTGTGGCACCATCTAAACTACTGCTATTTTTTAATGAGATTTTCTAACCTCATTCACGAGACTCCTCAGTCCAGGACCAACGTGTTTTGACCACCTCAGTTAATTCAGAAGATACACGGGGTAGCGAGGGGGTCCAACACCCTACTACCTCTATCACGCTGCTATCCATCCAAGGGAGGCAGCAAGAGGCCCGAAACTCTCGACCTCTGAAAAGGTGAGCTGGCTTCGTGTCAAACTGATTTAAATAATGTGCCGAAGTGATGACGTACAGTGACCAGACAGCCGCGGGATTTAAGTGTTGAAACATCGTAGCCGGACACGTTTGAGTAGAACTGATGGTGTGGTTTTTAATCGCTTCTGTCTAACCTCATGTTTCTACATCTTCAAAAACTCCCATCCCATTCGATCATTCTTCTCTCTTTCAAAACAAAAAGGGCTGCAGCTTTGCACTTGAGAAATTTCAGCCAACACGAGGACAATCGCTAGTTCAGTCGCCACGTTTTCAAAAAATGCTATGAGAAAGACGTCCACATTTAACACGTAAGAGCAGCTGGGTTATTTTTTGTTTCCACGCACCTTTTGATTCCACGCTGCTAAAAGAACTGAAAGCTCATTTGAGGGCGGGACGTACCCGGCATCATCAGCGACTAATGAATGGTCATGAGTTTAAAGGCAGACCAGCCTTTGAGGCATTTAGAGAAACCGTCTTGTGAATGTGGCTTCTGTTGTGTTTGCAGCTCTCTTTAAACATGTTGACTTTTTTTGTAAGAAAAGCTGAGATTTTTCAAAATGCTTTCAAAGGAATAATGAGCCCATGTAGACTGGAGATAAGGAGCTTCTCAAGATTGGTTACAGCAGCTTTCTTTGCATATGCTCAGTTATTTTACCTAGCTAAAAACCTATAACAACAATAGAGCTGTTTTTATGGCTTTTTGTTTTCTGTGTTTGTCTTTCTTCATCCTGATCTTTGACCCTGTAAGATCAAACAGAAGCATGCAACTGTTTTGGTAGCATCTTTAGCCAACCTACAAACTTGGTTCTCAAAGTGAATGTTCTCACCACCACCTATAGGTATGGTGTTTGAGATCCGTTTTTAGTGATAATCTCTGGTTCCGAATTAAGAATTTTCTCAAACATGAATGCAGCTTCAGCAGTTCAAAGCTTTTCTCAATAAATGTGAAAGTAGAAAAACACAAAACCTGTTTAAGACCATCCCCTATATTTTTCATATTTTATGGTAAATTGATATATAAATACTCCCTCGCTACTTCGCGGTTCGACTTTCACGGACTCACTATCGTGGTTTGTGTACGTACAGTACTGTACATAATACTTTCCAAAAAAAAAAAAAGTAAATTAAATAAAAAAAATTAAAATGTGCCACCATTTTGTAGTTTTCTTTCATTAAGCCTTCATTGTTTTGCCAGTCTAAAGAACTACATTACCCAGAAGCCATCAGTTCACTTCCCAGAAGTCAACACTGCTTCCAACCACCGCTTTCTGCAAACGGAGAGAAAGTTTTGCAACGCAAAGTCAGAAGTTCTGTAAGGATAAGCTCACAGGACTGGCAGGAAAGTCTAAAATAATTCTGAAGTTGACCTCATCCTTCAAGTTGTATCTTCACTGCTGAGTAGCTGGGCTGCACTTGATCTGGACTAAGTGTGACCCGGATCCTGGGAGCTGCAGGCAACAGACGGCTGCGGGATACAGTCAGGTTCTGGTCATGCAGTGCTGGTCTGGACTGGGCCAAAGGTGGTGGACTAAATCCTGGGCAGCCTTGCTCCTGGAGCAGCAGCACGTGCACATCAAGCTGGATGGAGCGGTGGGCTTCAGTCATTCTGTACTGAGACTTTTTTCATCTATCGGGTCGAACCGGAACCGAGTCGTTCCTGTTCTGCAGAGCCCTTGTAAGTAAAATTTAGTAGCTTATAGTTAAAATGAGTAGGTTTAAGAGTTTAGAGGACTGATTTGTGGGCTTCATTGCTGAGGGATAGACCTGCAGAAACGAACTGAGATGGAATAGAACAGAGTTGGACCAGAACCAGAGCTGTTGCTGTTCTGCAGAGCTAGTAAGTAAAATTTAGTAACATATGTTGTTAAAATGACATAGGTTCAAGAGTTTAGAACATTGCAAGAGTGTGGGACGTGTTTAAAACACCTTAATATATCTATATACTGTATAAATACTAAAATAAACTACTATTTGTACTACTATTCCTACTTTGTGGTTTTTCACTTATCGCAGGACTTCAGGGTACGGATCCACCGCGATAAACGAGGGACTACTGTACTATCTACTTGGTTTTTGTTGTTGTTTGGATGTTTTACTGTAGCCAAACTGTTATGCTGAGACTTTTAAGTTGTTAAAAAAAAGTTCTGGTCAAACGGATAATTGTTTAATTAAGATTAAATCTGGTGGAATATGAATATATTAAACACTAAATAATCCTGTAATTAACATTGTTTTTTAGGGTGATTTTAGTTTTGTTTTTTTTGTTTAACCTTTACCAACACTTGTAGCAGTGAAGGCTATATATGGGATAGATCTGGTTGGCAGGCCACAGACTGATGAAGTCCTCTGGATGGGGGACGAAACGATTCCCACTTAAAGAACTTGTCCAGATTACGATTTAACATTTTTTGTTGTTATCTACCTGGATGATGGAGCCTACAAACCTTTTTATCAACACTTGTTACACCACTTGACTTTTAGGGTTCCGTCAAAATGTTTGTTTGTTTATATTTTTTATATAATATTTATCAGTCATTTGGTGGTGACCCCTGATGAAGAGAGAAGCCGAAAGAAAGAAAAAAATAATCAGTCATTTTAAAATTGGCAACATAATAAATACCTGGCTACAACCCTCGGGCTGCACAAACGCAATTTTTTTTTGTCTTTCTACTGCACGAAACACACATTTTAGTCATTACAAGCTTCAAAGCACCGCTATGAACACTTTTGGCAAACAAATTTAGTTTGAGCATACCGATACCTCGACGCTTTGGCCACCAAACGTTCATACTTCTACAGAGTAAAATTCCCCTCCTACGTCTCTACATATCATGTGACAATGAAAATACTGAGATGATTTTAGGCAAAATTCACAATCAAAGCATGTTTTTGTTATTTTGATCACACCTGCACCAGAAGCAAACCCTATAAGGTTTCCTTTACACCCGAGACATCGTCACGCATGATTAGGCTGGATTCCTTTGATTGCTAATCAATGAAAACAGCAGCACAATTTTATTTTGTGGTGAAAAGGAGACATTTAGGGAACGCTTCTGGACAGTGCCTAGTACCTTGGGGAGCAAAACCTCCTCTTCTTTTATGCCGTGCATTTTTTCCCGTCTCCTACAGGTGCAGATCTTCTTGCAGTAAGGGCTGTGACATCTCCCAGCTTCTGTGTTTTAATACAGGCCGCTGTTTGAAAGTGACCAACACAATGTACACCACCAGGAAGCCCAGCACCATGACCACACCGATGAACGAGCCCACAACTGGAGCGTAGGAGTACCTGCTGAGCTTAGGAGGAGCGGGTGGGTGAGCTGGCGTGGGTGTGGAAGCAGCTGGTACGGAGGACAGGAGGTCCTGGATGTTGAGGAGGGAGCCGTTGTTCGGTAGAGGGCGGGTGGATAAGATGTGGCACATGAGAGGGTAAAGGTCAACGGAGCGCATAGAGGGCTTCACGTAATTCTGGCGAAAAGCTGGTCCGCGGGCCACGAACACAGGCTGCATGCTACGTAGGGTGTTGTCATAGCCATGGTTTCCCACTGAGGTAGAAAAGACAACAATTACACCATAGAAATTTATCACGTCACACTCTGAGGCATATGGCAAACATTACCATTCAAAATTATACATTTAATAAAAAACACTTTTTTTCTCCTCGCTGGCTCTGGAACGAGGCACACGCTTTCTCATCTCTCTCTTCTCCTGCTTTTTTTGCTCTCTGTCTGTGCATCGGAGCTCCTATTTTTACACATCTTCCGAAATGAAAACTGCTGCTATGGATCTGACCAACTGGATTTTCGACGCAAATAACAAAATCTTTTCAAAAAAGCAAAAGGGTTCTGGAGAACCCTTATGTCTGCTCGGACAACACGTGCAGCTGGAAATATCTCTGGGGAAGTGGAATGTGATGCGTCTACCTCTGCTGTTGATCGAGGACGCCAAAATTGCATATGATTGGATTTATGATAGCAGGTTTCCTGTTTTTGGAATTGTCTGGTTCCTGGTTTATCAACATACAAAGAAGACGGCCGCAGCTAATCTGGCCTGGTCAGGCTGCTGCCTATATGGTCAGGTTTGGTTCGTGCTTCGAGGACTCAAAATCAGTTGATTTACAAGCTAAACCGCAAGATGGAAGTTATTTTAATCACAGGCCACCTGCGGCTTTAGGACTCATCAGCATGAAACGACCTTGAAGAGGTTCGTAAGCACGGACCAGTAAAATGCACCCTAATCTGGCCATTTTGGATCTTGGAAGTACCAGTAACACTCAAGGCTGAAGCCTCCAGTATACTGCCGTGTACGTCCGTTCACTCGTACGTATGCGTGTGCTGTATGCAGAGGGTTCAGACATGATACTCCAGCGTCCACCCCGAGCAGCTGCAGAGCAGCTTCACAGACAAGAGGTGTTTACCTTCGGGACAAATTGAGGTCGCCGATTGGTCATTTGCTGACACGCCTATTGAACTGATTGACAGGTCGGGGGGAAAAAAAACGAGCGCTGGCAGTCTCAGCCACAGTAGTGTTCTGTGTTTATATGTTGTTAATAAAAAGATCTTTAAAAAAAAAAAAAAAAAAACAGGGAGCGCTGGCTCTACAGCCCACACATCAGACCAGCCCACCAGGAAATCTCCAGACCCTCCTGCAGCCACGCTGGACCTGAGTTTAATTCGCTCGTCACAAATTCCTTCATTTCTCACCTTTTCAGTCATTGCATCAACAGAGGAGGAAGAGATCACTGCCTCTTGGCAAAAAAACAAAGCAAAAGAAAAGGCCAGATCAGAGATGAAGAAGGGGAATTTAATACATTGGTGTCGCATACAAAACAGTCAGTCGCTGGGCAGTTTATTGTGCGACACCGCGTATGCGTACGCGGTCGTAAAAATTTTGAGCTTTGCACGGACATGTCCTGGGGGGTACGCACGTACCTCTGCATACGTACATGCGTACCTCTGCGTATGGATGTACGCGGCAGTATACTGGGGGCTTGACAAGGAAAAATAGTCTGCCTGAATAAATCAACAATTGTGGATTATCTGAACCTGACTCCATGGTTGGCCTCGAAACAGGCCAACTTATCAATTTCTCCTGGGAAATGTGTAAACTAAGGAAAAGCTTCGTCTATCGCATCGCATAAAACATTTGGACCTTAAACTACACGTCAACAAGCTTGAATTCCTAAACTCTACATCTAATTTCAATGTGAACACACCAGCAATATTACCTAAACTGCAATAATAGGTAAAGAACTGATAAACACCAGTAGACTCAGCTAGCTTTAGCTTTGCTCTAAAAGTATTTTGCTCTTTGTGGCAAAACAACTCCATAGTAAGGCAAATATTAATATATTCATACACGTGTGGTAAGCAGCTTTACATCATCGAGACTCAGTGGGTTCTCCTTCCAGCTGCAGGCTCCACATGTTCATTTTATTAATTAACAAGCTTTCAACCAGGAAGGAGAGAAGCAATTAAATTAGCCAGTGTAGTCTGACATTTCTAATCTGAAGACGAGCTCCTAAATTTCATTTGAATTAGAAATTATATTTCCAGGCAGAGAGATAAAACCAGCACACACTTCTGCTGGTCCAAAAGGAGAACTAATCTGTCTTTTTTTTGTGTGTGTGTGTGTGTGTGTGTGTGTGTGTGTGTGTGTGTGTGTGTATTACGCTTGGTATAACATGTTTGCTTTGGCTCAGAGACTAAAATAAATCATCTCTGAAGCTAATATTAGAGCTGCTCTGCAGCGTGCGGAGCACAAAGCAGGATCATTTCTCAGCACGGCTCGAGGCGTCTGTACACACATACACATGAAAGGTCCGCTCCGGTTCTGCATGATGGTCCAGCCCTCCTTGGCCTCTAAGAGGATGGGCATGATCCTGACGTTGTGCTGATAATGAAGGCGCTCGAGAACATCCTCCTTCTTGTACACCACCATGTTTGGATTAGCGTCCACGAGCAAACTGAACACTTCGTCAAGCTTCCCTTTAAAAAAATCATAAACAAAAACTTCATTCATAAAAGCAGAAAGAACGATTCTAGATACAAATTAAATTAATGTTGCTTCTAATTAAAATGTGTTTTTCTAATTCAGCTGTTTATTTATGTACTATAAACGTTATTATTGCCTGCCACCTAAAGGTAAATTATGTTTTGCCCATGTATGTGTGTCTGTCTACAAATACCTCTCAAACCAGAGGACAAATGTTAAACAGGTAGAACAAATGGACCTCTACAAGTGAATAACTTATGGGGTCAACCCAAGTCAAGATGGCTGCCACAGCTAACTGTGCTATAGTACAGCCAATAAAAATACTGTAAACACACCGGCAGTGTTTAATAGTCTGTTTCAGCAAAATGAGTGTATTTCCTCAAAGTATTACCTTCTCTTGGCAGGATGCCCACCACCGGACTCTTATCCACCCAGGTGTACAGTTCTCTGTCCACGTACTCATCCAGTTCGATGATCTTCTCAGGGGACAGCTGAGCCATCCCGTGGTCACTGGTCACAATCAGGTTCACCTTCTTGTACAGCCCGGCCTTCTTTAGCTCGTCCATGAGGAAGCCGAGCTTCTCGTCAATCCCAGCGATCACTGCATCCATGAGGGGGCTCTGAGGACCCAGGTTGTGTCCGCTCTCATCCGGCTCCTCCCAGTAGAGAACTCCGAAGTCCACCGCTTCCTCTTCAGGTGCAGAGAACCACTCAACGATCCGCTTCACCCTGTATTCAAAGGACACTGATGCGTTGTATTGGAGGTAGCGAGTGGGGAACATCCCGTGGATCTTCACGTCGGACCCTGGCCACATCGCCGCCCCGCTCCGCCCACCATCTTTCTGAATGGTCACCCAGAGAGGCACGGCCTCCTCCCACCACCTCGACTCATACATGCTGTCAGTGTCCATGGAGAAGGACAGGTTGAGGGCAGGGTCGTACATCTCATTCGCCACAATGCCGTGCGTCTCAGCGTACAGCCCTGTCACCATGCTGTAATGGTTGGGGTAGGTCTTGGTGACGTAAACGTTCTCCACGAACTCAACCTTCACGCCCTCGTCCATGATTCTGCAGAAGTTAGGCGTTGGGACGCGGTCGATGTAGTCCCAGCGGAAGCCATCGAAGGACACGAGCAGCAGCTTGGGTCGGTGGTCCTGATGCTCGTGGTGGTTCAGGCTGTTTAGGGAGACCACGGGCAGAAGGACGGCCCACAGGCAGACAAGAGGACTGCATGCTCCTGGTAGGAAGCAGCTCAGCATCGTGCGACGTGCCATGATACAGCCTTCAAAACACAAACATACAATTTGTCAGGGGAAGTCCCAGGGGGATTTAGGTAAAGGTCATGGATGTTTCTCACTATAATTAATGTTGAGCCATGTGTGTGAAGTCAAGAGAGTCTTGTCTACATGGAGAGGTGCACCTGATAAACCCCAAGGCCTTCTCCGAATCTGTAAGCAGGAAAGCCGAGGTCGTCTTGACCTCGCCTCTGGAAAGCGTGTATTAAAGCACTTCCTGCCTCACTGTCAGGCGCAGATTCTCACTGATGAGGCTCAAAGCATGAAACTATGTACATCTGCGAAAGCTTTCTCATGACCGTCTACCCTTGCAAGTACAGACCAGTTAAAAATCTTCTTGTGTCCTCAGAGTGGCTTATTTGAGTTAGCAGATGATGAAAGGATATTTATTTATCCAACACAATTTGCTCAAGCAAAACCATCCATGTCTCTTACCTGGAGAAATTTAGTGCACAGACTCGATACAGGGTTGAAAATGATCCAATTCAAAAGTAAATAGCTAGTTATGGAAGATAACACAAACTGACTTGTCAAGAATTTAACTAGCGTATTCGACTGCAAATGTTGCAAATACAAGAAAACAATATTTTTCTGTTCTATTCTCTGTCATCCAGGCAACTTTAAATGTTTGAGCAGACGATATCCTTTCACTTCCTTTTTAAAGGTTCGGTTCTAAACGGAGATGAAACATCTTCAGGAACCAGAAAGAAGACAGCCTTCTGAACAAACGATCACAAAAAGCAAAATGTAGAAACCCAAGAATTTTTATTCCTTTTAATAAAATATGCACTCGTGTTGGGTTTTATTCCAGCGACAATTGCTGAATGTTTAATGTGTTAAGCTAAAATAAAACGCTGCATAGAATATCACAGAACTAATTATCGTACTGGAAACAGGTCAGAGCTATAGGGTATAAAAAGAAACAGACTCCTTCAGAACTCAACAATGGAACCAGTTTAACGACAGAGAATAGAATTTACTACATAAGCTTGAAAATTTCCTCAGTGGTATATTTTTTATTAGAGGCCTTAAGAAACCAGTGAAATCTTCACATGTAAGATGTTGAAAACCAATTCAACACGATGACAAAATGGCACAGAACTTAAAGAAATTAGACTTGATTTTCCCCTTGTAACAGGTTGTCATTAAGCACACCATGTTTTTTTATTTCATTCATTTAAAACAAACAAATTCATCAAAAAAAAAACATTGAATGAAAAGGGTGCAGAAAGAAGAAAAAAATTCTTATAATATCTGCCCCTTATTTAAAAAAAAATATAAAATGATTATAACAAAGTCCATGCTCAATAATCCAGGTATACAATCCAACATTTTTCAGTCAGGTCATCTGGACAGTTTCTTTTTTTTTTGTGCTGAAAAGTTTCACCTTCGATCCAGAAGGCTTCATCAGTTAAGGAAACACACAACAAAACTGATTCTTCCTCCAACAGCTTACTCCAAAGTGGAACAAACCAGTTCTGCTTGTGATAAGATGGTCTCTTTGTCATTCAAAAACTCTTTTACTTTATACAGTAATGTAATTGATTTTGCTATTTTTATTCTTAAGTAATTTACATGAGATTTCCATGTCAGCTTCTCATCAATAATGACACCCAAAAATGTTATTTCATTAACTCTACGAATTTCAATACTGTCAATTTTAAATGGGACTTCGATCATTTTATTTCTATTACTAAATATCATATAGTTTTTTATTTTTTTATTTAATGATAACTTAAGTTGGAACCAAGTTTGTATTTTTACGAATTCTGCCTGTGTCATCTCTAACATCCGTTCAACATCTTCACCCGAACAAAAAAATGTGTCATCATCTGCAAATACAATGCACTTCAAATGCCCTGACACATCAACCAGATCATTCACATACAAAATAAACAACTTTGGTCCCAACACAGAGCCCTGAGGAACTACACATCCATTAAAACAAAAATTCAGATCTTACATCGTTTACCTGTACAAATTGTCTCCTATTATTCAAATAACTAGTTACCCACTGTAGTGCTAATGCTCTAATGCCATATATTCCGTTTTAATGTCACTGAATACACTAATGAAAACTAAACTTTGGACATGCAAGAAAACGATATTTATGAACAGTTATATGGAGCTGAGCTCATTTAGGATCCTCGAAAATTTGCTCTTAGGTCTCAATGATCCAAACTCAAAACTTTCATCCATCATTTTTCTTTACCTGCCTGTCCATTTGGGGTTGCAGGGAGCTGATGTCTATCTCCAGCAAGAAACCAAGGACACCCTGGACAGAAAGTAGATCCTACATCTATCAAAATATATATATTTTTGGACCACCTCCCAGCTCGGGGGCTTTCTGGGTGGAGTTTACATGCTCTTTGTGAGCACTTGTGGGTTTTCTCCAGAGAGAAAAGTTATTGTTTGTCTCTAAGCGGCCCTGTGATGCAACCTGTCCAGGGTGTATACTGTGACTGGTGTGACTGGTGAAGATAGACACCAGCTACTCGTGACCTGGAAAGAAGGAGGTAAAGAAAAGGATGTAGTGAGCTGTTTGTAGCAGCTGCTGAGCATCTTCATTTTTTTATCAGAATCAGCTTTATTGTCATTGCACCGAAGCACAACAAAATTTGTTTAATATGTATGAAGCAAGGCCATTTCACAATTTTTATCTGTTTTTTTTTTTTTTTTTTTTTTTTTGTGGTAAATATCAGCTGTTTAAAGAAGTTGGTCAATTAATCAGTTTACCTCCACTCATATATAATTCAGGAATCTTATAAAGCCAATCACAACAACAAGAAAACATTTTTGACACATTTATTATTCAGTGATTCAGATTGTGCCAAACATTTAACCAAGAACAGTTTCCTTAATGTGCATTTTCACTTAATAAGCATCTTAACTTTGATTTTCAACAATTACTGTACAACAGTCGTTTGTCTCTGCTCCAGCATTTGTTTTGCGTTTATCTTTAATAAAAAATAAAGCCATAATCTGGGAATTACTTTCTCCAAAAATACATACACTTTGTCTTTAAAAAAAATCCATTAGCACCAAGTAATCCCTATTTTTCGTGCAAATTTTAAAGTTATTTAAAAAAAATTAAATGATATTTGGTCACCAATCAATACATAAGTACTAGACTGATACACTAAATGATTTTTGCTATTTTCACTGTAAAAAATATCGTTTGTTTTCCCCAACTGTTCTTTACTGTTAAATCAATGTACAGTGAGTTGTAGCAATAGGTTACTCTTGTTTTAATGAGACGTCTGGATAAAATAATGCTGCAGAAATAACATTATTGTCTGTTATTTACAATCACTTACAGCACAAGAACTACATTTACTACAAATAGTGATCAAAACTATTTTTTGAATATTAGCTGGAATCGTACTCTGGGTTAAAATAAAACATTAGGACTTACCCTGAATTATTTGTAATGGTTTGATATCCAGGATGACCTCAGAGCAGCAGTTTGACACTTGAACGCATCGTGTTCAACAACAATGACGTCATTAGAACCAGTTAAACCGAGGTTCGAGCAGCTGCAGGTCCATCCGACCTCGTTAAACCACGACTGACATTAAAGAGCAACACCACCCTGTAGTTTTTCTGCCTTCTTTGAGCCGCAGAGCTAATATAAAGACGAACAGTTCGGGCTCCCAACAAGAACCAGACCCAACAATGAGTCCGGTTCCTACGAGTTCGGGCTTCAGAGACACCGAGGAGTCAGAAATTCACTGTCAACAAGCTTACCTTCTTATCGCGTGCAGACACCGGCTCGGTCCAGTCGCTGTGCACCGAGATAACCAGCCGAACCAGTTCGGTTCTGCTCGCCAGCGGAAGTCCCGCCTTCCAGCCTGCTGTTATGGTCAATAAAACCAGAACCCGGACCACCGGGCTGTCCACTGTTTGCTACCTCCTCGCGAGCAGCTGCAGACCTCAGATCTGCTCGAGCTTCAATGACGTAATGTGAACCTGAGAATGGGGGGCGGGGTTACAACACACAAACACAGTTTGAAGGCAGACAAAGAACAATTAATATCGTACCTGTCATGGATACATCTTTGCACATTGTCAGTTTACAAATTGACTATATGCACACAACTATTACAGCAAACATTTGTTCACCTTTAGACTGACATCAGTTTAGTATGCGTGTTTGTTGGTGCTAATAGAGGCAGCAGCAGCTGGCTGTAGCACTTCACTTGTAGTCTGTGGAGCCTCCTGGAGGGACATTGTTAGAAAAATCTGCCACATTTACTATGTAATGAAAAATTGCACTTGGTGTAAAGCTTTAAATAATAGCCTTTGCATGGACTGCTATAAAGTTTTGAAGATGCAGTTGATTCAGGGTGACAAAATCCCTGTTTGGTAGTGAGTCTGCACCACTGAGATGTAATATAATAAAAAAAACAGAATCAGAAGCTGAAACCAGCCATCAGGAAGCACAAGCCAGTGTATCTCTTATGATGGTTCCAAGCCTGGGTAAATGTTGAGGGTTGTGTCTGGAAGGGCATCCAACGTAAAACACTCTTGCCAAAACTATATGCAAGCTCATCAGTGGTGCTATCTAGTCAAGTCAAGTCAACTTTATTTATAGAGCACATTTAAAACAGAACCTGTTATCAAAGTGCTTAACAACAACAACAACAACAGCATTTGGATTTTTCTACCTGGATTATTGAGCATGCATCAGGATAACATCAACAACAATCAATGAGAGTAAAATTAAAGAGAAAGCATTTAAAACATAGGGTCACAGATTAAAAAACACTAGATCAATTTACACTGTGTGAAATGCCTGCGAGAACAGATGTGTTTTAAGCAGAGATTTGAAGTGCATTGCAGGTTGTTCCAGAGTTTGGGGCCCATGACTGAAAAAGCCCGATCTCCTCTGAGCTTCAGTCTTGTTTTTGGAACAGCCAAAAGCAGATGATCGGATGATCTCAGGGCCCGAGAGGGAACGTAAGGTTCCAGAAGCTCAGAGAGGTAAAGGGGTGCGAGGCCATTTAAGCATTTGAAGGTCAACAGAAGAATTTTAAAGACTATCCTAGTACGAACAGGGAGCCAGTGAAGGGAGGACAGAACTGGTGTAATATGTTCAGACCTACGAGTTCCAGTTAAAAGCCGAACAGCAGCATTCTGGACGAGCTGAAGACATGAGATGGAGGCCTGGCTGATCCCAGCATAGAGTGCATTGCAATAGTCCAATCGGGTCGTGACAAAGGTGTGGACTAGTTTCTCAAGGTCAGGTCTTGACAACACTGGCTTGAGCTTAGCTACCTGTCTGAGTTGAAAGAAGTTTTTCTGCAGAACAGAGTTGATTTGTTTGTCAAACTTGAAGTCAGAGTCTAAAACCATCCTGAGATTTTTACCAGACTGCTTCAGATATGGCTGAAGAGAGTCCAGGTTGACAGGATCAGTGGCGGCAGTTGAGCTAGGGCTAAAGACAATGACTTCAGTCTTTTCATTGTTGAAACTTGAGAAATTTGAAGCCATCCAGGCCTTAATGTCGTCCAAACATTTTAACAGAGGGTGAATGGAGCAAACACTTGCTGGTTTCACAGGCAGGTAGATCTGACAGTCATCAGCATAGCAATGGAATGAAAGACCATGTTTCCTCAGGATGGACCCCAGTGGGAGCAAATACCCGTCACTGTAGGAGTGACGGGTAGCTTCAAGGTGGAGGTGGGATTGCATCAAGGATCGGCTTTGAGCTCCTTTTGCTTTGGTGGTGGATTGACTAACAGATTACGTCAGCAGGAATCCCCATGGACAATGATGTTTGCAGATGACATTGTGATCTGTGGTGAAAACAGGCAACAGGTGGAAGAGAACTTGGAGATGTGGAGGTATGCACTAAAAAGAGGAGATATGAAAGTCAGTCGTAGCAAGACGAAGTACATGTACCTGTACAGTATGTGAATGAGAGGGAGACAGGTGAAACAATGAGGCTACAAGGAGTAGAGGTCACAAAGCTACAGGACTTCAAGTACTTGGGGTCGACTGACCAGGAAAATGAGGAGTCTAGTAACTTCTCTCCAATGGCTCCCTGTCAAATTCAGAACAGAATTCAAAATCTTCTAACCTATAAAGCTCTCAACAACCTAGCTCCATCTTATATTACAGATCTTATTGTTCCATATTTTCCCAATAGAGCACTTCGCTCTCAGACTGCAGGTTTACTTGTGGTTCCTAGAGTTTCCAAAAACAAAGTGGGAGGCAGAGATTGTGGTTATCAGGCTCCTCTCTTGTGGAACCAACTTCTAGTTTCTGTCTGTGAAGCTGACACCTTCTACTTTTAAGACTAGGCTTAAGTCTTTTGTTTTTGATAAATCCTATAGCTATGGTTGGCTTGGGTTTCCTGAGCTATCCCTTAGTTATGCTGCTATAGGCTTAGACTGCTAAAGGCCAAATTGACAACCAACAAAGACCATGCTCAATAATCCAGGTATACAATCCAACAATTTTCAGTCAGGTCATATGGACATTTTTTTTTTTCTGAAACGTTTCACCTTCCATCCAGAAGGCTTCATCAGTCAAGGAAACACACAACACAAAACTGATTCTTCCTCCAACAGTTTACTCCAAAGTGGAACCAACCAGTTATGTTGGTGCTAAGATGGTCTCTTTGGCACGACCCCTCCTCTGGTGCTGGCCCTCTTCCTCATTGACAGTCATGTCAAACTGGTTCAAAACCAACAAAGTCCATGCTCAATAATTCAGGTACAATCCAACAATTTTCAGTCAGGTCATCTGGACATTTTTTTTTTTCTGAAATGTTTCACCTTCCATCCAGAAGGCTTCATCAGTCAAGGAAACACACAACACAAAACTGATTCTTCCTCCAACAGTTTACTCCAAAGTGGAACCAACCAGTTATGTTGGTGCTAAGATGGTGTCTTTGGCATGACCCCTCAATAATCCAGGTACAATCCAACAATTTTCAGTAAGGTCATCTGGACAGTTTTTTTGTTGTTGTTGTTGTTGTGCTGAAACGTTTCACCTTCCATCCAGTTGACATTTCCTCACTTTGCTGCTGTTTTTTTTTTTTTTTACTCTTTGTATTTCTGCCCGTTTGTATTTATATCTATTTTTATCCTTAATGTGTTTTTTTGTCTTTCCTCCTATAGACAGTACACCTGGACCTGCCATTCTGTGTCTATTTGTTCCTCCTTCCTGTTCCTCTCAAACCCCAGCTGGTTGAAGCAGACGGCTGCTCGTCTTGAGCCTGGTTCTGATGGAGGTTTCTTCCTATTAAAATTGAGTTTTTCCTTTCCACTGTTTCCATGTGATCGCTCAGGATGGGAGACTGTGACAAAGTGAAGATTCAACACAATCTGCTGCTTCCTTAGATAGAGAACTTTTACAAACTGGATTCCAAACAAGTTTGGACACTAAACAAATTGTGAATAAAAACTGAATGCAATGATGTGGAGGAGCCAACATCTAATATTTTATTCAGAATAGAACACAAATCACTGATCAAAAGTTTAAACTGAGAGAATGTATCATTTTAAGGGAAAAATCTGTTGTTTCCAAATTTCATGGCATCAACGAATCCCAAAAAAGTTGGGACAAGTCCATTTTTACCACTGTGTGGCATCCCCCCTTCTTCTTACAACACTCAACAGACGTCTGGGGACAGAGGAGACCAGTTTCTCAAGTTTAGAAATAGGAATGCTCTCCCATTCATGTCTAATACAGGCCTCTAACTGTTCAATCGTCTTGGGCCTTCTTTGTCGCACCTTCCTCTTTATGATGCACCAAATGTTCTCTATAGGTGAAAGATCTGGACTGCAGGCTGGCCATTTCAGTACCCGGATCCTTCTCCTCCATGATGTTGTGATTGCTGCAGAATGTGGTCTGGCATTATCATGTTGAAAATGCAGGGTCTTCCCTGAAAGAGATGACGTCTAGATGGGAGCATATGTTGTTCTAGAACCTGAACATAGTTCTCTGCATTAATGGTGCCTTTCCAGACATGCAAGCTGCCCATGCCACAAGCGCTCATGCAACCCCATACCGTCAGTGATGCAGGCTTCTGAACGGAGCGTTGATAACAACTTGGGCTATCCTTGTCCTCCCTGGTCCGGATGACATGGCGTCCCAGTGTTCCATAAAGAACTTCAAATCGTGACTCATCTGACCACAGAACAGTCTTTCATTTTGCCACACTCCATTTTAAATGATCCCTGGCCCAGTGCAAACAGCTGAGCTTGTGGAGTTTGCTTAGAAATGGCTTCCTCTTTGCACTGTAGAGTTTCAGCTGGCAACGGCGGATGGCACGGTGGATTGTGTTCACTGACAATGCTTTCTGGAAGTATTCCTGAGCCCATTCTGTTATTTCCTTGACAGTGACATTCCTGTTTGAGGTGCAGTGACGTTTAAGAGCCCGGAGATCACGAGCATCCAGTAGAGTTTTATGGCCTTGACCCTTACGCACAGCGATTGTTCCAGATGCACGGTTGATGATGATAACTTAAAAGTCTTTGCTATTTTACACTGGGTAACACCATTCTGGTATTGCTGCACTATCTTTCTGCGCAACAATGGTGGAATTGGTGATCCTCTTACCATCTTGGCTTCTGAGAGACACTGACACTCTGAGAAGCTCTTTTTATACCCAATCATGTTGTCAACTGACCTAATTAGTGTTACTTGGTCTTCCAGCTGTTCGTTATATGCTCAATTTCCTTTTTCCAGCCACTTATTGCTACTTGTCCCAACTTTTTTGGGATTTGTTGACACTGTGAAATTTTGAATCAACATATTTTTCCTTTAAAATGTTACATTTACTCAGATTAAACTTTTGATCTGTCATCTATGTTATATTACGAACAAAATATTGACATTTGCCATCTCCAC